AGCTGGCTCACAGGTGTATCCCATCCCACAAACATCAGCCTCATTATAAAGGAGAAAGATTGCTGAGGACGGGGCTCCTTCTCCTTATCCTCATGAGGGTCGTCATCCCTGGAGAGACTCACTGGTCATTCTGCTCCTGAGGCCCGCTTTCCTGGGTTTTGTGACCACTGTACATTCACCGGCCTGAGCATAACTTTGTATATTCTATATTAGCATTAGTATTTGATGTTTCCTTAAGTCTGTTCTCATTTCAACCCATGGGTCTCTTCTCCTTTTCCCGATTCCTCTTCTCAGCTAGCGAGGGGTCATGGGGCAATAGCTCAGCCCTGGATATGGGCTAAACATAGACAAGGGGGCAGTTTCATTTTATACCTAATCTCATCTAACATCAGCCAAAAGCAGGTTATCCATCCTCTCCATCCCTCTTCCAGCTGTGCACTCCTGTGTTTCCTTCACATTAGCTCTGATATTCGGGCAGGAAGAATCATTTTGCTGAGGAAACTGACCTACCAGAGGAACATCTCCTGCAGAGTTTTACTTTTGGATTTAGTCCTGAAGGGAATGACGGGTGCATCCCGAAGTAAAAGCAGTAACATTTTCAAATGTGGACAATCTGATTTAGATCGGATCTCCTCTGGCCCACGGGCGGTAGGGCCAGGAAATTTCTGTACAGCATCACACCGCCTTGCTGTATCAGTTGGATAGAATTCACATTTTAAGGACACAATTCTAAACATTGAGTCTGATAAGTTTTCTGTCGCAGGTACGATACGTACAGATGTTACAATCCAGGCCGGTGTTGTGGTTTACTGGCACTTAACCTTGACCACGGTGGTTTTGCCACAGGCGAGTCATTTCACTGCGAACTGAAACCCGTGTTGGCGTCTGTGCTGGTTTGCAGTCTCTACGGCTCAAACACAGGCACCCCAAGTTAAACCAGGGCTGTAAAAAGGATCACCTTTAGGAAAACTATTTAAATCATGGAACTCTGCCGTGAGCCCTTGGCTAGGGAAGGGTTCCCTTTGGGGAAGCCATCGCCTATTTCCCCAGAGGAGGCTGCAGTTTAATTCTTCCACTTGGCTTTTCAAGCCCTACACACCCACCAGATATTCCCAGATAATCCTAAAAATAAGTGTGAGTCATCAAAACATCTCACACCACCTCATTTCCAAAGTGTCCAGTGTTGTCATTAAGGGACTTATAATGTTTTAAGTCCTCTAAGAGAAATACCTCCAAGGGTGATGTCGTGGCTCTACTGAAGCTGATGGAAGAGCTCCAAGCGACGTCCCTGGAGATGGGCTCACCTCAAACACTTGCCTTCATGCGATGCTTTCTGAAAACCGCATTTTAACAGCTTTGAAAGGCTTTTTGTTTTAGAAAGATTAGTCAGTCTCATTCTGTAAGTCTGTGTGGATACTCAGAACAATATAACTGTGTATAACAAACTGAGACATACGTGGACACAGGGGTTGGTAAAATTCTTGCAAAGGGTGGAGGCAGAGGAGCCAGGGTAGCTGACATTTCTGTACTTGGAGGGGGAACATGGGAAGAAGAGCAGGATAATTACCTTGCTAGGAACGGCAAACTCAAGAGTTGCTAAGGGAGCACAGGACATAAAACAAGTGTATTGCATTGCTGTCACACAGGACATTGCTAAGATAAGCGAGGGCATTATGGTTAGGGCACACAGCCATAGGAAAAGCCAGTCTCGCTGTACATGCTGCTCTTGTGTTCACTAACATATTTTATTTGGTTCATTAGGCAGGCAGGAGCAGGTAACAAGACAGACATTTACTGTGTTCAAATCACCATTAAGTGATGCTAATGGTCTTTATGGGGATTTATTACCCAGGTTATGTGGAAAAGAAAATGCTGTGTTGTTACAGGATCTGAAACAATAAAAGTCAGTGTACCAGTTCTCCCTATCTCTATGTTATCTTGTAACAGAGTGAATAATCAAGCACAGGGCTATTAGAGCAAAAAAACCTTCCACAAACTTTCCTGTAAAAGATGAGCAAAAAGAAAAGAGGAAGCTTGTATTAACCAGAGTCCTTCTCAACAAGTGATGTCAGCTGCCACATAAGATCTCAATGCAATTTCCTCAAAAGTGTAGATTCTCAGCGTTTCTTAGCAGATCTGGACTCTGAGGCACTTTCTCAACTCTCCTGCAAGGCATCGACAAAAACCTTCGCTGACACCCCATGCTAAAAGCCAGAGAAACCTTGTTTGCTCCTCGTTTAGCCATAAACCATGTCTTTCACATGAAAATCCTGGCGAGTTACAAGTTTATACTCCTTTGTCTTTTCAAATATCCCTTGGAAGACAAGCAAACACAGGTTTCTTGAAAGTTTTCACAACTACTTCCTCTTATTCTTTCCTTTATTTGTGTTTTCCTTCTACCCACTTTACAGTGATTCCTTTCTCCCATTAATGAAGTTTCTTAGTATACTCCGCTAACAAGAGCCTTTTTTTTCCTTATCTAGACATAATACTAAACTTTGCCTTAAACTCTCCAGTTCTTTTCCAAGCCTTCTCCTGCCAGTCAAGCTGATCTGAAGAATAGATTCTTTCCTAAGTCATATTTTAACCTGAAAGGTGCCCCTCTACTGAATGAGAGGATGGACTGTAGTCACCCAGAATGACAAAGGTCCAAATAGCATTAGAGGGGCAAACATTTTGAGATTTGGGAGATGCTTTTGAAATAGGGCTATATACAGACTGCAGATGGTGGTCAGTTAGTTGCAAATACAACACTGTAAAAACTTGCCATGAGATTCAATGTCTTTAAACAAATGAATCCTGCTGCCACTGAATGACTAGAACTCTTAGTGTATCTTGTTGACTCAAAGTAAAGGACTCGCATAACAACCAGAAGGAACAGAAATTATAGTGAAATTCCAAGTTTTCATTTAAAAAATGTGGAGATATATACTCTAGGACTTCCCATCTAATTGTGCGTTGTTCAGCTCAAAACAGAGTTATAGATTGTCCAGTTGCACCATTACCACATGTCACTGTAAAACGCTGCACCTGTTTCACCTGTAATACCGTAATATAGTAGTTTTGGCTTCTTTTTCCAGATTCTGCTATTAAGATACATTTTAAGTACTGACAGCAGTTACTGCAGCCTTGCTAATGCCCCTGGATTTATTACTGGGTTTGCTTCCTCTTAGGCTTCCTCCTCCTTTCACAACATTTTCCGTACTGTCCTTTACAGGGGAACAGCTGCAGTTAGCCGTCTCTTCCTCCTCAGTCAAATCTCCTATTCCAGAGTGTTTCCAGAGGTTAATCCACAGGCAGAGAAGCACACTCTTCCTTACCTACAGAATATACAAACCAGAATTCAAATCACCTCTAAGCGTTTTTTAGGGCAAGACACCTCTCCTCTGTGACCTGCCGAGCTGTGGCCCTCTGAAGTCAGTGCAGGGCCACTGCAACGCTCTTAAGGTACAGAGGCAAAGACAAAGGTACAGGAGGAAAGACAGATGGGCTATAGGGTAGGTTTGCTTCAGGCTATTATAAGCTTTTAGCAGTGAAATTTATTATGGCAGAATGACTACTCTGGCACCAACCTGTCTGCTGCAAAATACTTTAGGACATGTAATTGTGTGTTTGTGTATAAAATCAACAGTATTCAAATTGTTTGTATTTATGTGCATTTGATCTGTTTGCCCTTCCTTTATAATTTTAGCAAGCTGTTGCTGCCAACTGTATAATTTCCTCTTGGACTGTATCTGCTTACGCCAGTGGCTATAGTTATTCATCACGCACAAGAGTTTGCAGATCACGTCATTGCAAAGTGTATCCATCCTCACCATTTACTTGTCATAAGCCCCTTTTAAGTTCAAAATAGAAGTGCTGGCAGAATTACACCCATACTTAAGTCACGTAAGATCTTTCAGTGGCTTAAGTGTGAGCTGGCCGACAGGAAATTCTGCTTCTGCCAGTCTTCACTATCACCGATAAAAAAATTCACACAGACTAACACAGTCTTTTTCTCCTAAGTACTTTAGGTAGAAAGTCAGCTCTGTGCCCAGTCTGTGCTCTGCACTTTGCTTGTGATTCTCAAGACAAGAGAATCCTTTTTCACCTTTTTTTCTCTACCTAGACAGGAGGAGGAAAATTTGGACAATGAAAAGGCACGCTGCTCGATTTCAAACAAGGATTCCTAAGAAGATTTGTTTTTTTCAGAAGAAAAAGTAATAATATTTGATTGAAGTATTATATAAATACTTGCTATTTTGAGAAAAAAAGTAGTAATTTGATTGAAGTATTATATAAACACAAAAGCAAAGCAAAAGCAAAACATGTTATCTGTTGCTTGAGTTATGATTCTATACATACGTACGTACGCACACAAAATTTTGAGATCATGTATCCTGAAACTCAAATCACCATAAAGAGATACTAAGCAAGTAACAGGAAGGAACCATTTATGGATTTGCATTTTACAACCCATTCTGCCATGCTTATTCCGTGGAGGAGTGAATTTATGGCAACGTTTCTATGAAGTCAACACTGAAAAGCACTTTTAGAATGAAAGCACGCTAACACTGCTACTTTAGCTTTTCCAAAACGCCATTTCCAAACACGGCTATGTGCAAACCCATACTTACAATCTTCAGTTTTTCACTGACTCATAGCACCCATACTCCACTCACTCACTCCACAGCATCCGCACAATCACGCGACAATGCACGTCAGAGCAATTTTAATGGCTGTTACAACACAGCTTCTCTGTTGCAACATTCCTGAAGTGTTGTAGTGCAGTTTTTCATGTCATCAGACCATGAGTGTGTCACTGCAGATCCAGTCTGATACCTCAGCACAAACTACTTAAAGACAAATGCATTCCACCTTTTTTCTGCAATGCAGAAAAGCCCTCTTTCATACTATTTACAAAACTGTACAGAATGCAGAAAAGCCCTGTTTCACACTGTTTACAGAACTGTATAGAAATATCTTCCACTCAGATGTCACAATCTACACAAAAATGACAGTATCTCAATGTATGCTGTAAGATATCAGTGAAAATTAACTCAGGCTATTAAAAAAATTTTATTAAGGTTTTTTTTTTTTCCATGAAAGATTCTTACTACAATCAATGTAACCATTTAATCAGTCAAGTATGTGTGTTATAGGCAGGCACAACATTACAAAACAGGCAAGTACAATGCCCGATTAAGCGAATACAGTCTGAATATCTATTCATCCACTATTTCTGAAAACAGAATTATCAAATATCCACCAGGGAAAAAGATGAACTATTTCAGTTTCTCTTTGGCATACTTATCAGGACAATGAATTAATTACAAAAGTCTTCTATTGCTGCCAGTGCTGTGAAGAAAAAAGTACTGAATGGAAGATTGTATGTCAGAACGTACTTTTAAGACTCGGGCGATCTGGCCAACGTCTCAGAACTGGTGATGCCAACAGATCAGCTGTCAATGCTTCACAAGGCAGACAAGGATTACATTGTTTTATAATGCAGTTTTGTTGCAAGTATAAAAAGAATTATTGTAAATTTATGCACAGTACATACATATTACACACAGTTATATAAATACCCATGCTGTGGCTGGATTTTAGGAAGTTGCTTTATCACTAAGAAAGCTAGTATCAGACCTCCCAACATCCATTTAATACACATTGCACTTCGCATCCAGTAATATGTTCATTTCTGTACCTCTCAAAAATAGATTTAAAACAGAAGCGAAGAATAATATCGAATCTTTCCATAAACTTTGTTTTCCTATTTACATTGTAATATTCCATTATACATAAAGACTGCATTACGATACATTATCTTCATATAGCTTTTTGAAATACATACAGCTTGAAGCTATTAACATCTTAGTTTGGAAACAGAGATATGACCTATAAGACTATTTAAAAACAATTTTAGCCTTAATTTTGCTCTAGTTTGTTTCACTGAAACCATTCTTTGACAAAAAAAAATATCCTCCTTATTGGGGAGGGAAAAAACCAATCCATGTTTAAACCACCTCTGGATTTCCTTAAACCACTAAGAAACTTACAAACCATAATATTTTTGCATAATTATATAGCCATTCAAAGGCCGGTTACTTTTAAATTTAGAACATGAATGACAATTGTGACCATATCTTTAAATTAATTTTTTTAAAACTTTCAGTTATTTTGCGAACGCAAAACAATGAAAACTCAATTGTTAATCATACATAATCTTCACACAACTGGGAAGAGTTCCTGTTTTATTAGGAAAAAAGTGAACATGCACACGCCCCCATTCACAGAGTGAGAACATAAACTACAGCAGCACTTGTCTCAAGTTATGGTGCACATGGTTGCAAGACAGGGTATAAAACAAGAGCAGAATTCCTAACATCTGTTAAAACACAAAAAAACCGCTTATTGTACAAAAAGTCATTCACATTCTTTGCAATGAAGTGAGGAATCAGCCGTTCAGCTTTCTGGACTCTCCAGTCGGCAAACTCCTCCTTCTATTGCCACGGACTGTCCTGCCACCGCTCCAGGAGGAAGTCTTGAAATGTGAGTCTGTGGAGAAGTCAATATTATTGAGTGAGAAGAGAGGCAAGAGTACGCAGGACAAGAAGCAAGCTTGTAAGTACTGAACAGTTAAGCTGCTCCACCACTGAAGCCTGAGGGTGAAGGACAAAACAACTTGAAAACTGCGAACAACTGGATTCTTTTTATATTTTGTTTGTGTTAATGTTTAAAACATGACAGTTGTGTAGAAAAGGTAAAGTGGATGAGCCAGTGCACTGAAAGTGGAAGAAAGGAATATTCAGCTCGAAGACAAAAAAAACCCCAAAACCTAGCTGTGGCATTCCATAGTTTGTAAGTCTATTTTCTTGGGGAGATTAAAAAAGTTTAGTATTGCATACAGAAATATACTTTACAGAAATCCCGGACACAATACACCATTTGACAGAGACAAACCAACACTTCAGAGCACAAGGCAACTGCAATGATCGGGCTGCAAAGAAACTACTCTGCATAAAATACCTACTTGCCCACCTGAAACCCCTCCCCAAACTTCCTCTATTTGCTACCAACCGTCAAACAAACAGACTCAAAGAGCAATTGTCTTTTTGTCAGTAGGCGTCTTTTCCATGAAGAAGTTTCAAAAGTAGGCCTTGGACACGGCTTTGTAACTTTTTAGCCAGAAAGTGAAAGCCAGAAAAAGTGTTTGTGTGTGTACACAAAACTTCAGCTTATAACTCCACTGTAACTGTGACACTAATGTTAAAGATCCTTTATATTCCGAGGTGCATTTAATTAATGAAGGGCAAAAGCAGTCACTTGTTAAAAGATATTTGGACTTAATTTTTAAGAGTAATGACTTTTTTTCCTCCATTGCACAGGTTTTTACACTATGAAAACTGCTTATATTTTCCTCCACGCTTGCTGAGCTCCAACAAGAGCCATTTGCAGCTACATCGACTGCTTTCATACAGAGCCAAGTGGCTAAAGCAGTGTTTAAATAGAACCACAAAAGGAGTCAGAAGCACGTTTGTAGAAGCTTTACCGTTTCCTACTTCTGGAGCTGCTGAGTGTTCTCTAGTAAAACATAAAAAAGAGTGTTAGTGAAACTCCAAAATGAAAGAGGGCTGATAACAGCATTTCCTCAGGCTTGGGGCAGAAAGCGGCAATGGTGGGGAGTCACCAGCTCAAGCTGTGCTCCAGCCATCCCTCCCACCGAAGCAGAAACGCCAACCTTCGTTCCCCTCACGAGTTACACATCTCAACAAGAGATTCACTAATGCTCAGACATGATAATGCTTAAACAGTTATTAAATTAGGAACTTGAAATTTTTCCTACTATGACATAACGCTCACAATGTACAAGTTGCTGGCATTTAGAAACTACATCTTCCTGTAAGTGCAGCCAACTACATAGTTACGTTTTTGTACGTCAGTTAGCCTGTTGAAAAGACTTAAGTGATGCTAAATGTAAAACTTGTAGTGAGGCAATGGACTGTGACAAAAAGCACAGATGTAAAAGTTCAGTAAGAGTAACTTGCATCAATTGAGCAGAAACTGATTTGACAGTAACCCCAATTCATTGCACTGATGAGACGTTTTGTATCTCAGAAGCAGCTTCTTTTAATTCCTTTCCTGATAAGGGTGTCCTGGTGTCTGCTCTTAGGTGGTCTTGTTTTCCATTAAATTGCACATTAAGATTTAATTGAAAACATTTAGAGGTTTTCATCTAACTGCTAGAACTTTGATCTCTGGTCTTCCTGCTCGATATACAAACATCTTCCTACCTTCAGAACAATTTTGGTTCCAACTGTGATTTATCACCTGAAGAAGAAAATATTCTTTTCCAATCTGTTACTGCTTCCCCAAAATGTAACTGACAATTTTTGGAGATGTTATTTCATAAGTTTAAAAAAAAAAGAGGGAGGGAAGAAAAACAAGTGAAAGAAAGATACTTTTTGTCTTACAAATGACAGATCCAAGACATTTTTCCACTTTAAATAAAAATTTCTAAATGAAAAGTGGGACAGGATGACACTGTAAAAGCAGAGTTATTCAACGGGCACAGTAGCAAATTTCCTCAGTGGAAGAATGTCACTGATCATTCAGTGAGACACTGCAATCAAAGCAAACCAGCCATTCAGCAGATCATTGCAGCGATACAACTCAATGAAAAGCACAGAGGCCCAAGGATGCTGTCCAGAGACATGAGAGAGGAAGCTTGTAAGAAAAACAGATTATCATGAATCTCCTAATCAAGTTTTCTCATTACAACTACAGCAGACCTGATCGGTGTAAATTAGTCTTCTGACCCAAGTTATCAACCAACCTTTGGACAGGCTTGTCTTATCCCACAACCTAGAGTTAAACACCTTGCCTAATTGCAGGAGCAAAATGTGAGGAACGTCCACAAAATTTATAGATCCTGTTATTTTTAAGTTACTTAAGCATAATATCCTAACAGTTTTTTGAGCAAGGAAATGAAAATATACAAGAGGGGATAAGCAGAAAGTCAATATCTATCAATACATTATCAAGTAGCTATGCTTAAATGGCTGTCCAAAACAAATTTCCTGCACAAAACCTCATTTCCTATAAAAGGAAAAACATGTTTACCACACAAAAGACCCCAAACCACTACACACTAGCAGCTGTACATTTCCATTTACAGAAACACCCAAACCACATATAACAAAACCTTTCTTAAAGCCTTTACTTGCATCCTGTTTATTTGTCTGCTTTATGCGATGGAGCAAATACAGATGCTGCTTTACACTGACTACTTTCACCAATGACTGCCTTATGTAAAATAAAAACAAGACACATCTAAGATGACAGCGTTTAAAATGTTACCTAATAAGTAATGTGAAAGGATAATGCTGGCACGTCAAGACAACTTCAGATAAACTTCCAAGTGAATTCTTACAATTTTATCTCCCTTGTTCTTAGCCATAAGAAAAAATGCCAGTAAATAAAAAGATCAAAGAACGTTTAATATTTTTAAATGCAACCACAGACCTTATTTGTACAGTTTGTTACATTTTTATAACCTAACATCATATTTTACATTAAGTTCAGACTGCAGAGTGGATTAGGTTTAGATTTGAAAAATAGAAAAATAAAAAGTGAACAACAACACTGGAAAGCTTTTAATTGAATTGGATTAGTCCATCAGCTTTACAAGTTGAATGAACCCACATCTGGGGGAAGTTGTGTCCGAGAGCAGAAAAACAGGAAAAGAAGAAGTTTTCCACAGTTAATCCTCCACTCAGCCTCATGGAAACCTGTCTTTGAGGAAACCATATGCCAAGGAAAGGGAGATTAAGAACAATGATTATCCATATCTTCAGCTCCATAAATAGAAATTTTACTGCCCCTAAGAATATTCTGATTTGATTTCACCTTCCTAGAAAAAAGGGAGGCTGGTAAGGGCCTAGCAGGAGCAGAAGTGCTGACAGCTAGAAAACCAGTTTGTCACCGTATTACTTTGTCTGCAGCTTAAAGGAGGAGCCTTATGCCCATAGTTCAAAGGGAAAAAAAGGTAAATGCTAGGTGAAATACTTGATTTTGCTTCCCATCCCTCCATAAAGCACAAACAAGCTAACCGGCATTCAGACACTGATCCTTGCTCCCTGTACCTGCCACTCAGACAGACAACGTTGCCCACTTTCCCTCCTAACCAAACCAGTGCCGCGGAGCAATCACCATGCTCAGCCCCAGTGCTACAGACACGCTCTGCGGAACGCTACTGGTCTCTCAGTCCCTTTTGACGCACACTGGAAAGTTTCCCACTGCCCTTCAAATCTCAAACGACTAAGTCTGTCTGCCCTGGAATAAGTATTAACTGGTACAGCGACAATATATGGTTTTGTCTTTTCGGCATGGACATTTGATCTACTTTTCAAGTTACATATTTTTAGTATACCTTTTTTTTAAAAAAAATAAAGATACTACAAGTTGTGCCAAGACTTACTTTGCTTCATGCCTCATAGACAAAGATTCTGAAACAACCTTGAGGCCAACTAATATCAAAAGATTTTTTTGTTTAAATTGCTAGACTCCTCCTTTTATTCACATAGAAGTATTAGTCTGTCACAATTTCATTTTTTTCATTAAAGGAATAAATACAATATAAAATGAATATAAAATTTAAGCCAAAATACAGACGGTGCTGCATGAGAAAACTGAAGTCAATCATCCGCTGCCAAGAGGACAGATTACAACTACCAGATGGCAGCACATTCAGTTCTCAAGCAAATCTAGGGAGTATTTCATGTGTTCAGCTTTCTTATTACACACTCAGGATGTGCTTTGGACAGAATAATTTATAAAACAAGCTTTTTCCATTCATTACCCTATTGAGATGAAATATAATGAAAGACCAAGGACATTATGTACTTAATGAAAGTGCTTTCTACTACCTTACTCCTTACAGAAAATTAGCACCGAACTAATACGGCTTTCTGTCGGGATATATGCTTCTGCCATGGAAACCATCTGGCCACCTATTCTCAAATTTATTTTTGAGGCAGTAATTGTCCATTTTAGCAGCAATAGCCAGCCTCTGCTGTTTCATCTCCCAGGAAGGTCTCCTCCAACATGGTTTGGATGTACACCTGCCATACGACAGGAGAAGATGGCCCTGCACAACACTGGTTGGCAACTGCTGTTGTGAGAATAACCTACGTGCAACTCGTTGGGTGAAATTTTTAAAAAGAAAAAAAAAGGGAGGGAGGGGAAAAAAAGAGGCTCCAGAATTACTGTCCTTGTGGGCAAAAGACAGACAGGCATACTGACGCTGTGCTTCTGGCTCTCAGAAAATACCCATTCTACATAGAAGTTGCTTAGGAAACTAACAGTATTCCAAGCTCACATTCATTCTGTGGGATAAGTATAGTACTATGTCTTATTTATGTATCTAACAACATCTATATAATGCATTAGAAGAAAAAAATCAAATTTTAATAAAGTTGAAAACTGAAGCTTTTTGATCTAAATAATTCATACATGTATTTAGACAGTCTAAAACCATGTACCGACCAATCATCTAC